TACCAAAAAAAAAAAAAGAAAGAAAGAAAGAAATTGGTATTACAACTCTTTTTCTCCGAAATGATTCTTCTTTAAGTACCGCATTCTCATTTTCCATCCACCTGTGAGGCTACAGCTGCATCTGTAATATTCTGTGCTCCCACACAGGAAGGCGGTGCTGCCTGTCTTTGAAGTCTGGTTTGCCATCCACTTGACAGCTGAGTGAATATGAACTTTCATCTTGAGATAAGAGAGTCTTGTTCTGCTTTATCTCGGATTGCATGTCAGAGGGGCTCAGCTGGGTTTGGGGGGTGTGAATGGAGGGAGAAAGCGACAACAGGATCCCTTGTTAGAAGTCTCCTCAGTTGGCCTAGAACAGGCTCGGCCGGGTTGCAGGCATATCGTTCGGCTCTTGGAAGAAGTCCATGGACAATCGGGGTTGAGTTGAGGCTGGAACTGTGGCCCGTGATCTGCAGGAGTCCCTGCTCAAATGCCCATGTGCCTCCTTGGGAGTATGACCCCCCTGGCAACCTGTGGAGGCAGGCGATCCATTGCCTTCAAATCCCCCCCTTGATCCCATGAGCCTCACATATGAGCAACTCATCCATGCAGGGACCACTCAGCAGGACCTCCATCACTCAAATCTCAACCTACCACCTGGGGCCAGAGGCCTGGTCCATGTCTTTGAGACTGGTTTGACTTTGCCTCTTGGAGGTTTTTTCCCAATCTGTAAAATGGGCGTAGTAACATAATCTACCACATGGAGTGGGTGTGAGGTTGAGATCGGGTGAAAGGTAATTCTGCTGCCCTGCAGAGATGAATGAATGATAACAACAGTTGCTACACTGTCCTGGCCACATTTTGGAATCATAGCTTGGGTTCCACCCCCTCTCTAAAGTCCACTCCAGACTCATACTCCTGGCTCTCGTCCAGACCATGGCCTGAGGGCCACAGCCTGCTTTAGAAACACCCCAGGGCTTGGGGCTCCTGCTCTCTAGCTCCCCATGTTCTGTTTCCTAGCACCAGGACTGCCATTCTCCTGTCTCTTCCTTGGGACCCTAGAGAATGACTGACTGCTTGCTCAGGCCCCTGCTTCATTTTAATGGACGGAACTGAGATCCAGAGGCAACAAGGCACTGTGCATGGTCAGCACTGGGGTTTGCAGAGCGGGGCTGGGATCAGGTTTCCCTTCCTGAGGGCGCCCCAGGCATTTTCGGTGTGGTGCGTGACTGGCCAGTGTGCCTGCCCCGAATTTCCTACTCTGAGGACTCAGCCCTTTCCCCTCCTATCTGAAGCCTTCTGGGCTCCTCACCCCCAACCCAACCATAGCCTGCCTCACTGCACCTCAGGAGATGACTTCAGCTCCATCTTCACCTAGAAAACAGTCAGTCTGGAGGGAACTCCCTCCACTTCCGGCCTGGCCCTAGCCAAAGCTTATCTGCCTCCCCACCCATCCTCCTGGCTGCCCAAGGCTAGTCAACGCCCTGGCTGATCCTGGCCCCCTGGGCCACCTGGGCCCCAGCCTGTCCCTCCCTTACCCCGGGAACTCTCTTCTTTATTTATTCATGCCCCCTCTCACCTCCCCACTTTGAGGATCTGTCCTTGCATCTGGCTTTTTTCTCTGTCTACAAACCAATTGGTAACTTGTCTTTTAGAGAAAAGAATCCAGCCCTGGGCACACTTTTTCTTGCCTTGGTCTCTGCCGGCTCCGAAGTCTTACCCGCTCACAGCCCAACTCTACTTTCTCATCTCCACACCCGACCCCCTGAGCCTTGGGCTCAACCTGGGACCAACAGCTGCCTGTCTTCCTCTCCTTCCAGGTCCCATAGGCCCAGCTGCAGCCCTGGGACTTTGTCTTCCTCCATTATCTTTTTCTGGCATTTTCTGTCTTACTTGGTGACATCCATATCCTCCTGAGGGTGGGAACCTAATCCGGGAATCCTATCTTCCATGTACCCTATCAAATAAGTCTTCTAAAAATTGTAAAGTTGGGCATGGTGGTGCATGGCTGAGATCCCAGCACTCAGGAAGCTGAGGCAGGAGGATGGAAAGTTTGAGGCCAACTTGGGCAGTTTAGTGAGTTAAAGCCCAGGACTACATAATGAGACGCTGTCTCCAAAAACAAAGTGGTAAAATACAAATAATGTTAAATATATTATTAGTGACATTTAGTATATTCATAATGTTGGCCACCATCAGCACTGTCTTGTTCTAGAATATTCTCATCACTCCCCAAAACAAATTCTCCTGAGTCCCTCAAGTGTCTCTCTGCCCCTTCACTTTCACCTGAACCATCCCAGGGTGGCCTCGGGTTTTGCTCCATAGGATCTTTCTGAAACTCACCTTATCTGTCCTGCCTTTCCTGAAGAGGTCAGTGCCCAGCCTTCTCTCCTGGCATGGCTGATGTGGGCCACCCAGCCCCTCCATCCCCACGTTCTGCTTCCTGTCACTGGCTGTGCCCGCAATAAACTGATTTCCCACACCCTGATGCCTGGTATGTGCTGTCCTCCTGTAGTGCCCACGGCCCGCCTTCACCTGGTGCTTGGTCCAGTGGCCACTTCCTTCCTTGAGAGGCCTGGCCTCTCCTGGAAGTCCTTCCTCTGTGTCACTGACATCACTGAACCCCAGCTAGCTGGGCCCCACCCCTGTCCTGCCTAAGACCTCAGGGATGATTGCTTATTCACCCCAAAGCCCAGCACCTGGCACAGGTGTTTGGTAAATGTCTCATGGTTGGGAACTTGAACTGAACTTGGAGACGGTGGAGATTTCACGTGAGAAGATGAGTCAGTGTGTTCTCTGCTGAGTGTACAAGTTCACCAGGGACTGCATGGCTCCTGGCGCCCTGTAATTTTCCTGACAATAGTGGGTGGCCCCTTCTTTTCCCCCAACCCCTCCACTCTGAGTCATTTCCAGGTTGAGGGCCAGGTGCCTGGCTGAGTCATGACACCTTCTCTTTCCAGGGATCTTCCTCCTCCCCTGATGGGTGGTCTTGAGGTCCAGGGAAGTAGGCTCCATCCCCACAGCCCTCATACCAGAAATCAAACTCAGGACCTTGCCCTTCCCAGGCAGGCGTGGTGCCACTGAGCTATATTCCCGGCCCCCTTCATTTTAATATTTGGTATTGTGGTCCGGGGATGTCTTATCTGTGCTGTGATGACTTTGTGACTTTGGATCTTCTCCATCAGCTCATATCTATCCAGGTTGAAAAGATCTGATGTCACAGCCAGGAATGCCTATAATCCCAGCATTCAGGAGGCTGAGGCGGGAGGATCAAGGAGAGTTCAAGGCCAGCCTGAACTACATAGCAAGACCAAAAAAAAAAATCTGACTTCATGAATATATTTTTATTAGTAACTATTAGCTTTACAAAATATTGGGTTTCAAATTTCTACTCTTCTCTCTTTCTTTGTTTTCAGTTTTGTTGTTTTTTGCAGTACTAGGGATTGAACCCAGGGCCTTCACACCGGGCTACACTCCCAAAAAGCCCTTCTAAAAAATTTTATACTTTGAGATAGAGTCTTACTAAATTTCTAAATTGTCCAGGCTGGACTAGAACTTGCAATCCTGCTGCCTCAGCCTCCCAGAGTGCTGAGAGTACAGGCGTGTTCCACCACACATTTGATACACCACATTTTCTTTATCCATTCATCTGTTGACACCTAGGCTGGTTCCATATCGGCTATTGTGAATTGTGCTGCAATAAACATGATCATGCCAGTGTCCCTATAGTATGTCAACTTTAGTTCCTTTAGGTATCAGAGAGTTATAACTATATGGTAGTTCTAATTTTAATTTTTTGAGGAATCTCCATATTGATCTCCATAATGGCTATACTAATTTATTTTCCCACCAGCAGCATGGAAATGTTCCTTTTTCTCCACATCCTCACCAGCATTTATTGTTTTTTGTATTCTTGGTGATAGCCATTCTGACTGGGATGAGATAGAATCTCAATGTAGTTTTGACTTGCATTTCTCTTATGGCTAAAGGTGTACATTTGTTCATGAACTTATTGGCTATTTGTACTTATTTTGAAAAGTGACTGTTAAGGTTATTCACCCTAGATCTGACCTCTTTATGCCAATCCACAACCCCATCCTTCATCACAACAGTTTTGAACCTTTCTGCTCAAGCAGGAAAGCTCTGGGCCCTCTCTCCAGGAAAACTGGGCCATCAATCTGACTGCCTAGAAAGGGGGATGTCGAGGGCTAAAGAAAAAAAAGACAACAGAGACTCTTGTACTTTCAAAGTGTATGGGGGGGGGCAGGGATTTAGTTCAGTGGTTCTGCCACCTGCCTCTCAAGCACAAGGACCTGAGTTTGATCCCCGGTACCAAAAAAAAAAGATACAAAATATATGGGGGGCCGGGAGGTCAGTGCCTCAGAGTGGGCAAAGACAAAGACTCTCCAAGCTAGCCACTATTTATTGGGGACATACACTAATTGGAGGGAGCATCAGGTGATGTGTAGGGAGTGGCAGTAATCCTATGTTGATATGGATCTTATGCTGATGAAGATCTTAGGGCACTGAGGTTCTTATTTTGAAAAGGACTGTAAGGAGAGGAGCCTTACAATAGTAGGTAGGAGGAGTTAAGGTGATAAGGAATTGTCTCTCCCCAGGGAAACCTTTCTCTTTCTACTTAGTTCTCAAGAAACCAGGATGTCTTTAGCTGTTGTAATCTTGTCCTTGAGTATCGGAGTGTCATGGGACTGTTGAGGTCTCAGCTGTGACCAGAGACAAAAATGGAGTTATGTCTTGACATGCTATAGCTGGCCTATAGGCAGGAAAACTAGGCTTAATCATAATTTATATGTGAAATGATTTTTCCCCAAAATTATGTAGAATTGCACCAGATAGAAAACACATTCACATAAAACCGGAGGTGGTTTATGGACCTACCCCTAACATCCATCTGCAAACCAGCTTCCCCAGGCTGTGAACATCATTCTCTTTTGTAAATAGTGTGACCTATATGCGTAATTCAGTTTGGCTATGCTGGGAGAGTTTACTTATGAAGAAGGCAGTGTTTTCTCTATGATTGAAATAAGAATCAGGTAGAGATTTCCAAGAATGGTTGGGTGGCTTATTTGTTATCTCTTGCTGCCAAATTATGCCAAAACGTAATTGGTTGGTGGTTCTGGCTCAGAGTCTCTCATGAAGTGGCAGACAAACTGTTGGTCAGGGTTGCAGTTATCAAGTGAAGGCTTGACTGAGCTTGGGCAATCTGCTTCCTGGCTCACTCTGAGGCAGAAGGCCTCAGTTCCCCACCCTGTGGCCTCCTCCGGGGCTGCTCGTGCCACGGCAGCCTGCTTGGCTGAGAGCCAGTTGTCCCAAAGGAGAGAGGACTAAGATGGAAACTACACTGTCTCCCTGACTTAGTCTCAGAAGTGAAATCTCAGCACTTCTGGAGTGTCATGTGGGCCACACAAACCAGCTCTGGTGTAAGGTAGGAGGGGATCACTATGACATGACAAGCAGAAAGCAAGGGTCATCTTCGAGGCTGGTTAGAGCATGGTGGTGGTGGTGGTGATCATGCTGGTAAAAAGTAGGCCTCTTAAAAAAACAAAAACAAAAACAAAACATTAAGTTGGTCCAGGGATTTAGCTCAGTGGTTTTGCTGCCTGCCTCACAAGCTCAAGGACCCGAGTTCCATCCCAGGTACCAAAAACAAAACAAAAACAAAAACAAAAGTAGGCCTCTGCTTTTATTGCCCTGAATGCATGGTGTTTTGAGTTCAAGTGAGTTGGATCTCATCTGAGTAAATACAGTAGACCCTTGACTTACGAACTCAATTCGTTCATGAGGGCTGGTTTTAATTCAGGTTGGTCAATGAAGGCTCAGGCTCCTCTACACAGCCTTCAAAGTCACTCTCCTGTATACAGGCAGATCTCAGTATCCTTAGAGAGAGAGACACTGGCCCAGGATTTCTCAATTAACCCCACACAGGAAAGGATGCTGTAATGGTCCTTCCAGAACTCTTTAAGGGTTAAATCTGTACCTGAGACCATCTGGAAGCACAAGTGACCAGCATTTGGGTCGTAACTCAAAACTTTTTCATAAGTTAAAACTAAAATTCTCGGACTGGGGATGTAGCTCAGTGGTACAGCGCCTGCCTGGCAAGTGTACATTCCCAGTACCCCCACCTCAAAAAACCCACCCTAACATTCTGGTCATAACCCAAGTTGTTCATATGTCAGGCCAGTCATAACTTGAGCGTCCACTGTATGCAAAATGCTTTTCTTTTTCCACCCTCCCCTCCTTTATCCCTGTCTTTTCCAGCATCAAACAAGTTCATTTATTTACACAGCTAAGCGTAAGATTGCTTAGAAAACCAATGGGGCAAAAGTACCCCATGCTAGTAGATATCATCCTCACTATAAAAGCTACTTCTTGGTGCTTTAGTCAAGTTTGCCTTACACTTGTCAAAATGTGGTGGGTTTTGTAAAAAAGAAATAGTGAAGCCTAGGAGTCCACAGGAGGCCAAAGGAGGGATTGTGCTGAGGCTGAAAGGCCCAGGGTAAGGCAGACACTGTCCAGCTCCCTCTCCTCCGAGACACTCAGTGTTAGGGACAGTGAAATGTCTTCTCTGAATGGTGTTGAGGAGGAAGAAAGGAAATGTCAGTTAGGGCCAGGCACTAGGATCATGGCCCGGGCAGTGCCCTCAGCCATCTTGTCTCAATCATTGTTGAAAATAAAAATACCTGAGTTTAGGGATGAGGCTACCTAGCAAGTATGAGGCCATGGGTCTTATACTGAGTGCCACAAAGATAAGTTAAAAATACCACGGAAGACAAGTGTTAGTGTTCCTATTAATCATAGGTGGAGCAGTTGCTTAGAGGTTAAATAACTCCAAAGAGCACCATGCTAAGGACCCTGGGCTCGGGGCTGTGCCTCTCTTCTGTACCAGGCACCATCATAGCCTAACCCAGGGCCTAACCAGGCGTGGTGCCCATTCAGGGCAGTAACAGTAAGGTTGGCCAGGACTCAGGTGAGGACCACGCAGAGGAATGTGCAAACCCAGGCATCTGGAGGAGTCCATTATTCTAGGAAACTACTAATAAAACATTTAAACTGGCTTTCATTTGGGACAGCAGATAGAGCCTTAAAACTCCCAAGAGTTGCCTTTATTTCTTTGACCAGCAGAACCCAGCTCACATAACTCAAGCACTTCACAGGTGCCAGGACTGTGCTTCAAGTACCTGAACTCAGGTTCTTATTTATACTTACCATTATTGTGTCATTGTATAGATGAGGAAACGGAGGCTCCTTGAAGTTTAGTAACTTGCCAAAGGTCACATAGCTGGTTAATATCAGAGGGGAAATTTGAACCAGGTACTTTGGCTCTTTGCCCTTGATGTTCACTCTATTCTCTCCTGGAAAAATTACTAAGAATCCTGGATTAAAATGAAGGAGGATGTACTGAAGAGGTCAGGGAAGGAGACCTGCCTGTCTCTGAGAGGGAAGGGTACCTGGGTGGGGATCATATTAATTGGGGGGAAATAAATATGGTGCAGAGGAAACTATTGCATTGAGAGATTGCCTGGCAAAGCAGTTGTGGAGAAAGACAGAAAAGGGAATTCTAAGAATCAGTGCTGTAAAAAATAACTTGGAT